TCCGTGCGTCGCTTGCTAATAGCCAGTCCTTTTTACCTTCTCTTACAGCCCACATGCAGTCCGACGCGACCTGCGTTTACTATGGGAAACGAACCGCCTGTTAATAATACCCCATCCCGATCATATAAATCACCCCGATACCCGCCCTGTATGTATGGTATGCCCTTCCAGGTGGTCGCCGTACTCACAGTCGAGTAGGTCTACACATACCACGTCATCGCAGAGGATGAGCACCCTGCAGACTCGGGCAACCCCAGGGATGATACCACTACGCCTCCAGTTGCGACGGCTACTGGCTCGTATCGCTCGCTGGGGTGGCATGACCTGAGTGCAAATCTGCATCTGATGACAGTTCGAGTGGGTCGTGAATTCATCAAGCGACCGCTCCACTACCAGCACTTATTACCTATAGACGCTCTTGTACATATACCCATCATCAGGCTGGTTCACCCAGATGTAGTCGAGCCGGCCTCCCTCCACATTGAACAGGAATCGCCCGTCGAAGACATGCCCCGCCCGCCGAAGCGGAAACGGTGTCCGGACACAGAGACTGATGAAGTTCCTACCAAGAGAGTGCGCACGTCCGGCACTGCAAGCGAGGCGTCCGAGGTCGAGGACGGCGTTCCTTTTGGACCTCACCCAAGGTGCATGATCACTGGGTGCGTGTCTGCTGATGTAGAGGCGTGTTATATACTGCCTCCAGACATGCCTCAGCTATTGGTGAGTTGGCATGACTGCTACTTTGGCTTTGTGGCTGACAAGGTGAATCAAAAGATTGACTACATGACATTCAACATGTGTACCGACTATGACACCTTCCTTTGTCACGAGCCTGAGAATATTATATTCCGTGCGTGATTGATATGGCTCCCTCCGTCCTTTGAAAACTCACCTACCGCATGCAGTTCGACGCGACCTCCGGGAACTGTGGGAAACGAACCGATTGTTGATGATACCACATCCTCAGCATTTAGAGCATTTCGAGTATTGCACTGTATGTATCGTACGCCCTCGACCAATCGTGTGCTTATGGCGACACAGGTGTACAAGTATTGCGTCATCGCAGAGGACGAGCACCCTCCAGACTCATGCGCGACCATGCGTCACCCTATCACACCTTCCGTCATGACGGCACCATGTTCATATCGCTCGCTTGGATGGCACGAGCTGGACGCCGACCTCTATTCGATGGCTTTTCGAGCAGGTCGGAAATTGAGCAAGCGACCACTGCACTACCAGCATATCTTGCGGGAGTTGTTGCCCCACAAGGAGATCAACCATGTGCACATCATAATCTGTCAGTATATGCAGTGGGCAGACCCACTGTCTTCAGACATGGTACCCAATAGACGGTTATGGACAACCGGCGAACTCTCACCCTGTCCTGATGGTTATTACCGCCGCCCCTTGACCGAATATTGCTCTCCCCTGTCGGATGACGACACAGCCCGCTTTCCTCGCCGATTTCGGCCAGTTGTCTCAGGGATAAAGAGGAAACGTTCTCGCGACACCAGGGTGGACAGTAAGGCCTGCACCATGGAGGAACAAGTAGCCAGAGTCCGTGAGTGGTGTCGGGATTGCGATCAAGCTCGAGACGAGTGGACGATAGGACTGCTTGCGGAACCTGAGGACCCAAAGTTGCTCATTTATCAACAAGAGGAAGTGAGAGATGTGGTGCCTGCTGTAGAAGCACCCTGGTTGGAACAATACTATTTATCAAGGTATGTTCTCTGGTAGATCTGCAGGTGCAAGTGTGACTGACGTCGTCCTATCCGAACTAAAATTATACAGAGACGGTCCCGAGTTTTGACATCCGGCCTTATACCTCATTCTGTTACGCTTTGCACACGCCGGACAAGTCTTGAATATACCCAGAAAGGTCTATTAGGGTCGACACGCCGTCGCGATTGGAGCCTCTCCGCTCTTCACTGATGAGCCAGACGTGCTCCCTGGCCGTGCCTGGCGATTCTGGCAAGGGACGGGAAGTATAGTTGTATTGAGGAGCATTGCATTGCCTTGGTCCCCTCATATTCGGTATATTCTTCTATGATGTCTGTAGCTCTCAGGCTATCAGCTGCATCTCGGAGTTTATTGCCGGCGGTGGCGGTGGCATGCAACTACGTGCGTGGCGTCTATCAGGCGTCGATACGTACCACCTTACTTCCGACGAGAACATCCGGTATGTTGAACCTGTGTCCATCTTGTTCCGTTTACTGATATCCGGAACACAGGTTCTTGTTATTCAATGAACGATCCCCACCAATATGGCCGAACGGAATTCATTCGCCAGACATCAAGATCTGACTTACTTCGCTTTTGAAACCCGGGCATCCCTAGCATACTCGAAGAGAATGGGCTATGCTACATGACAATCGCTAGCAGCAGCACGACTTACAATGCCAACTCATTTGACAATATACCCGTATGTGCATACGGCAGCAATTTGGTGTTGGTGACTGACGGAAAAGCACTTCAGGCCCTAGGTAGACTGGCCCGTGGGCATCAGCTTTCCGTATATCAATCTGCCTGTCTTCTGCGAGATGCGGCAGTCGATCTGTGGAATATGGAAACTGCAAGCATGTGTCGTCGATGCTGATCAATACTGCAAATCATCTTCCCCGACTTCCAATTCCGCTCCTACAAGCGGCAGGCTTTAAGCTTCGAAAAGAATTGTAACTCCTTTTACTGCCGTTATGACCAAGCATGGCAGCTGATACCGCCTTGCAGAAATGGTGGCCACTGATCGCGCCTTCCGCGCATTGCTGCAACATCAGAACCACATGTTGTACAATCAGGACAATCTGCTGGTATCTCTGAGCCATGCACATAGCTCGCCTCATTCTGTTGACCACCTCAGACACCTTCTCGTGTTATCGTCAGCAGTCGCATATGCAGTTCCGTTGTAGGCGGCGGCAGAGACTAGGTAAGAGACGCATCTGTTGGGCAACACTGGCGTTTCCTGACTCAGTTCTACGGCTAGATCGTGGTGTGCTGCAAGCATGGGAACATAACGACCATACGCGGCAGCTCAGCTCAACTGTGGCGCTGCATTTATATACCCGCTTTAGGAGGAGCGCGACTGAGTGCGCAGCCCCTATTCGGACCTATAGTTTGTCCTCATTGCATTGTAAATGAGAGCAATGCTGTAAGTTGATTCCTTGATCACGTCTTACAAGCCGCTGATCCTATCTCCAAAACTGTCACCTCCATCAGTTTAGCGTCCTCTCAGTCGCAAGTTCAGATTCTCGCTATGACCTAGAGGTTTGTTTGATCTGATAGTCGGACAAACAGACTGTCTTTGCACGTATTCCACCAACGAGTGATGCTAGACACCATTCGGCGATTGGTCTATTGACGAAGGGCCTGGTGGTACTGCTGCATACAGACATCGGACCACTCCACGATTGTCGAGGAAAATCCACGCGACCCTGCACGACCAGGTGATCGCTTTATACCCAACCGCTTCCTCGCTACAGAGGCTGAATGACGGCATCGCCGCGCTCTCTTGCTCGGCCTCGCACTTCAAATAGCTCTCGTACTGGGCGCCCGAATGGCTCAAGAGCAATCCAAGTGAATCGGCTGCGCGGTCCATGTGCTGAGATTGCCGCCCCGACGCTACCATGGAGGATCGGCGCGACTCGCACCGAGGGCCGATGATACAACCACCCAGTATGTGAGCTGGCTTGCTCGAGCTGCCGTTATCTAACCTCCTGTAGAGTTCCACCACCTCTTTATGTTGAAGCTGGACTAGACACGAGACATGTACCCACCCGGTTTTCCCTCAGGAATAGTGCGATACGCTCGAGAGACGCGCTCGCTTCACGATACCTCATGCATCATGCCGTGCTCAATCTTCCTAGTCGCTATCCTTGGTCCACGCACTGCACATAGAGCCCCCATTCCGCGACGCTGGTGCTCTCGTTCTCGTCGATTCCTCGAACCCAACGGGACGTTTTCCTTTGTTCACGTGTTAGCAGCTATGCGTGCCGTACTCACTCGTCTTCTTGCGAAATCACAGGGACGATGTTCTGACACATCAACATGGGTCCTTGGAGAGCGTGGCTCTACATGTAGCAACAGGTAATGGACAATCGGCCTATCTGTTCTTCGTAAACAGAGGGTCACGGAATATTAGGCTTGTGAATGTTACAACACTATTACGACAATGTCATCTTATCGGCACCTGAGGGCTCGTTGTGATTGTGCTCTGGACTCAGGACTCGGCGCATGCGGTGGCAGCACAAGAGTGGACAACTATAAGGAGGCATACAATGAGGCTGAGCATGAGTGTCATGGCTAGTACGCGACTGTGAAGTCGGTGAATGGATGACTCCTCAGATGTTCACGCGTCAATGAAAAAGCACAGCTGATTAGTGGTCTATTCATGCAACGAAATGCCGCTCACAGTAGCAGTGCCGCGGAACATCGTAAGGGAACGGCAGGATTACGTTAGCTCACATATGGAATCACACTGTGCAGTCAACGGCTATCTGCAGGACGAACTCACTTGCCAATGCCAGCAGCGTCGACTAATCGCCAGCATCATTGCCCATATCCAGTGGGATCCAGCACATGGTGGGCTCGTATGCTCCGGGTCCCCCCGGAGTATTGACAATCTCTAGAACAGTCTCCAAAGAGCACGAGTTGCGTGTCGAAGAGTTAGCATCTCGTCTTGCGCGGTTGGGATTGTCATCACAAGCTAAGGGGCCAAGGACCTGGCAAGGATAAGCTCACTCAAGCCTACGAATATCGAGATCGGGCGAGGTCGCGCAGACACAATTCCGGGCTATGAGGAAGAGGCAGCAAAAGCGAGCATAAATACTAGTTTATTGTGGCCTCGATCTTCCTGGCAAAAGGGTAGTAGATTGCACAAGACATGTTGGTAGCGGAACGGCCGCTTGATGAATCTCCCCGGAACATCATAAGACGGGGATTGGTGCTCATACGGGCGATCAGGAGAGTTGAAGGACAGGCACTATCTCAGGCAGCCAGCGGCAATAATCAAGATCACGATCGACGATGCAACATGCGTCAGTGGTTCACAGCGATTAAGGCCTAGCTCACCCCTTACGCCGATGTGCAGCCCTCTCTGTCTGGGTTTTAGATTCAAACAAGACTGTTCTCCATAAACATAAACGCATTCCAGCGGCTATCTAGTTAAGATTACTATGCACCAGCGCATGGACGTGGCAACAGGCCGCGTTATGTGCTATGTCCACGCCAGGTGATAGCATCTGCTGCAGCGCACCCCACCCGCACGGCCGACCCACAGGACGACATATATATCCCAATGTACAGATATTCACATCTTCCACAGCTCCTACCGCTCTCGCCGAGTATTCGCTCATCCCATACCCTACAGCCAAAGCTAAGCTAACATGTCCCGCCCCGCACCCCGCCCGCGACCAAGCTCGGCCGCCACCGCCGACTCGCGCCCCCCGCCGGCATCCACGTCTCGCCCATCTGCCTCGGCGCTATGAGCATCGGCGACCAGTGGGGCCAGTACGGCATGGGCGAGATGGGCAAAGACCGCAGCTTCCGCCTGCTGGACGCGTTCTACGCCGCGGGCGGCAACTTTGTCGACACCGCGAACACGTACCAGGACGAGACGTCGGAGCGGTTCCTCGGCGAGTGGATGGCCACGCGCGGCGTGCGCGACCAGATGGTCGTCGCGACGAAGGTGCGGCGGTGTGCTGCGTGCTGGGCCGGGAGCGTGCCGTGCTGATGCGCGCGCGCGGGGAGGTCAGTATTTGACGAACTACAAGCGCGCCGCGGACCTCCCGCAAAAATCAACGTACTCTTAAAGAGGCGAGCGAGAGATCTATCGAGGTAACGATCGGACTTCAGTAGGTGTGCAAACGACAACTGAAGTCCGTGCCACGGAACACCGGGTATATAGCCAGTCGCTACGCGAGGTGAGTGATTGCTATCTCGGGAGAAAGTTCAAAGAAAAGGGGAATGAGGTTACAGGTACAGGGACACCAGGGGCGCATCAACATCGCGCCGATCCTGACGCGATAACGCGGCATCATGCATGCGCGCGCACACGCGAATCGGTCGGACGCGCTTGGTCGTTAACACTCCCCCTCAAGCCGGACGAAGTCCGAGGAGGTGTGCGAGCATCGCGACCTTGTCGCGCACAAGAGGTTTCGTCAAAATATCCGCCACCATCTCGTCGGTTGGGCAGTACGCCAATGTCGCGCGCCCGGAGCTGATCACCTCGCGAATGAAGTGCTATCGAATATCGATGTGCTTTGTGCGGGCATGAAGCATGCCGCTCTTCGCGATGGTGATCACACTTTGATTGTCCGAGTATAATGGCGTCGGCGTAGGCAAAGGAGAGGTGAGTTCAGCGAGAAGGGAGCGCAGCCAAAGCATTTCGCGGGAGGTATCCGATACGGATATGTACTCAGCCTCAGTCGTCGATAATGCGATGATGGGTTGCTTGCGGGAGCTCCAGCTGATGGAACCTCCCGAGTATAGGAATACATGGCCTGAGATCGAGTGACGGTGAGGTTGCGAGGCCCAGTCTGCGTCCGAGTAGCCAACGAGAGTATGCGAGGAAGTGCCGAATGTCAAGCGTAGGTCGCGGGTCCCCTTGAGATAACGCAGTACACGTTTGGCGGCGTCCCAATGAATAGGTGCAGGGGTTGCCATGAACCGCACAAGGGTGGAGACGGCAAATGCGATGTCGGGGCGCGTGCCGATCGCAGCATACATCAGGCTGCCCACGAGACCAGCATACGGCTTGCGTGACATTTCGTGACGGTCCTCGTTGGTGATCTCAATGTCGAAGAGGTTGATATGGGAGTCGAGGGGTACAGTGAGAGTGTGGGCTTCAACCATGCCAAAGCGATCGAGTAGCGTGTCGATATAAGAAGCCTGTGAGAGTGAGATGGTGCGCGCAGAACGATTGCGATGCGCTTCGAAACCCAATAGCCAGCGGAGCTCACCCAGGTCGACGATCTCGAAACGAGACCCTAGGTCGTGCTTCAGCTTTGTCATGACACTCTTCGAGTTCGCAACAAGAGTGCAGTCGTCGACGTGGATCACAATGATGATAAAGATCGTCCCGTCGAAACAAAAGAACACACCGAGATCGTATTGGCTTCGTGTCAAGCCAAATTCAGCCAGTAGCTCGCAGACCTTCTGGTACCATAGACAGCCGGCTTGCTTGAGGCCGTAGAGAGCCTTCAGGAGCTTCCAGAGCCAATGTTCTCTGTTGGGTTGTGCAAAGCCGGGTGGTTGTTGCATGTAGATAGTTTCGTCCAGGTCGCCGTTAAGGTACGCATTCTTGAAATCAATCTGATGGATCTCCCAATCATTAGCAGCTACAAGCGCAAGCACGAGTCGGAGCGAGCTGAGACTTGCGGTCGGGGCTGCTGTCTCAACGTAGTCGATTCCATAGACCTGCAAGAAGCCTTGCGCGCACAGACGAGCCTTGAATTTTGCGACATTATTGTGCTCGTCACGCTTCTTCTTCAGCACCCAGACACTGCCTACAATATTCACGTCCTTTGGTGGCTCGACAAGCTCATAGGTTCCCATTGCTTCGATCTTTGCGAGCTCTGTTGAAATGCGCTGACCCACGCGGTCAGGAACGAGCTCGCAAGCTCGGGCGCGCGAGTAGCCGGGGGCCGGAGGCCCCTATCGTAGTATATAACGACCCCGCGCGATGTACGTACTACACGCGATTGTCCCTTACGGGCATCGCTACGCCCATGGACAAACGCGCCCCACGCCGTTCGCACCGTTGTTCCAACAAGCTCCTCCTGCATTGCAATCTTCCAGTCGTCACACTTGGGACCGGCCATGGCTTCGCGATAGGTGGGCTCATCTCCAGCCATAGCTGCAAGAGCATGAGCAGGTTTGTCAACCACTCTCGCAGCACCCTCATCAATGGTGAGGTCGGCATGTTCAAGGATGCTCGCAGGGACCTGCTGTGCACCTCGTCCGCCAGTGGTACCTGCTCCGGACAATAAGTCCTACACCCATTGAGATGGATTGCGCATGCGCTGGCTCCGCCGTGACATGGGCGGCTCAGCTTCGACTTGTCCTGCTACTGCATCCTGGTCTGCACTGTCAGAGGCAACGGTAGGGGTGAGCACATTCGGGATGCCTTCAGGGATCAGCTCCCCCTCAGCTGGAATGTGCATAGTGATAGGAGTGGCCAGAGGGACGTCCACAAAGCGAACATCACGCTCAATAGAGACAGTGTGCCGGTCGGGCCAGTAGATATGATGGGCCTTGCTCTGGGCATCGAAGCTGACCCAACGACCTTGGCAAGACTTGGGGTCGAGTTTGGAGGCAGCATCGACATGGACCCAGACAGGGCTGCCGAAACGGGGTAGGCTGCGAAGATCAGGCTTCATTCCCGTTGCACGCTCATGTGGAGTGGAGCCTGGTGTATTGCAGGTTGTCGTGCGGTTATGAAGCCAAACAGCATGCATGACAGCTTCACCCCATAGCGCCTTCGGAAGGTCTGCATCGAAGAGCAGTGCACGGGCATGCTCAACAACAGTCCAGTTGAGGTGCTCCGCCTTGCCATTCTGTTGAGGAGAGTCATGCAAAGTGAGACAGCAAACAGTCCCCTCCCCCTCGAGGTAGGCAGAGAACTTGTCACTGATGTATTCACCACCACGGTCGCTCTGTAGCTCCTGTATAACAGAGACACCCCATTGCGCCTTTACCCAGGCATTGTATGTCTTATAGCGGAAGAATGTGTCACTCTTGTGTGACATAAGCATCACGACTGCCTCGTCGGTGTGATCGTCCAGGAACAGGACATAATATTCCTTTCCTGCAAGCGTCCTAATGGGGGCTTTACCCCAGATGTCGGTGTGGACTTGGGCACCATAGTGATCGGCCTGAGGACTAGACCGTTCTGGCGGGAAGGGCTCCCGAGGCTGCTTCGCCTTCACGCAGGTCTCGCAGAAGACTTGATCAGTGTTTTCAAGATGGATCCCGGTGACGACCCCATCCTGTATCATCTTCTTCAGCGCCGGGGGATATGCATGTCCCATACGGCAATGGAGTTTGTGTAAGGTGAGAGATGTAGCCGCAGTGAGAGCAGCCGGATGGGGAGCTTTGAGTTTGACAGGCGTGGGTACGATTGGGTAGAGTCCCTGTCGCTTGGGAACAACAAACATGGTATTGCCTTTGGGGGATAGAACATGATAGCCACCCTTTCCGAATTGAACACTAAGCCCGGCATTGGCTGTGCGACTAATTGAGATAAGGGCGTGGGGCATACTCGGTGTGTAGAGAACATCCTTGAGGAGGAATTGGATTGACTTGCCATTGTGTGAAGTTGTCACGTGCACATTGCCTTCACCAGTAGCGTGGAACACCCGCTGTCACGAGTTGGTACGGCGTCTAGCCATTTTTTAATTTTTTCCTTTTCGCGGGCTCAAACCCGTGACCTCTGTACTACTTGCCTGATATGGACGCATCGTTATCTACTGTACGATTAGATTAGATGGGCGGCAGTGCGCGGCACAGCTCGGGCTCCGCTGATACAGCCTCCCTGACTCACCGGCCCCCAGGGCTGCGTCAGCATGCTGCGCACGGACCAGCTACACACGGACCAGTGCGCACAGCCTGCCCTTATCTTCCCCTGTATATAAGCCGGCCTAGGGACCTCAGTTTCGACCTCTTGTCCCTAGGTCAGTAAGCCCTCACTTGTATCTCTTTCTTACCTAACTAATATATTCACTTGTCCCTAGCCTTAGGTTTGAGCATAGCTCACCATCGCTTCGGTGAGAATCAGTCGGACGCCCCCAGTTTTAGGCTTTCTCCCAGTCGCTTGACCTCAAGTCGCGACATTAGGTCGAAACTCCCCAAGCTGCCGGTGTCCTCTCAGGACTCCCTACATTCACTTTCCTTTCCCACAGGTCGGGTGGTGCGCACCCCTACAATACTCTACGGTACATACAATACGTAGATAGCCCTACTATACATTGCCACCCCTCGAGGAACGAACTTTTCAGCACCTGCACTTCAGTGGGTGGTGTTTGTCCTCACGGACGCGTGGTCTAGGTTCCTGCTGCATACTAGCCAAAAGCAGTACTGGGCCCCACGTGAACTGCGAACCTCAGGGTCTTCTCGCGCGCCGTAGCGTAAGCTAGTGTAGTACGGCCATTTTAGTACGTGCACCTCCCCGTCCTCCCCCCATCCAACGTGGCTGCCTGTCAAGGCCAAGTTCACGCATTTGACTCTCAGGACCTCATCGACGTCTACATCCCAGACGGTCCTGAGACTGTCATCTACTATTGCAAACAGCAGCCGTGCCCCAACCGGACACCCCGATCGATCGCAGAAGATTACCAGCGCTACAAGGCAATCAGAAGGGCCCAACATCCGCTTGGTCCCTGCAGCACCCTCGCATCTCAATCTGCCTCGCGGCATTCTCGCCCTGTCTCCCCAAGCTCTCGCCCTGTCTCCCCAAGCTCTCGCCTCCCTCAAACTGTCGCCGGTCAAGTACGAGGAGATCTCCCTCCAGACCCTGCGCCAGAGCCTGAGCCTGAGGAGGGTGCAGGTGAAGAAGGAGTCTCGGAGTCCGAGTCCACGGATTCTGCTCGGTCCGCTTCGCCGACAGCGCTCGACCCCACGTCAGCAGTCCCTGACATACGTGACCCCGCCTCCGGGCTTCCTCCAGCGCCTTCACCGCCGTCACCGCCGCGAGGCCGCTCGCGCACTTGCTCCCCTCGTAGTCCGACCAGCAGAGGGCCACCACAGCCGCCTCCGCCCCCGCAGCGTCCTCTGTCCCCCCCCCGACGCCGATAATGTCTTCTCCCGCGACCGCCCCCGACAAGGAGACCCTGAAGCTCCTCCTCCCTCTCCGCTATGATGGCAAAACCGTCATCGAGTGCAACAGGTTCCTGTCGTAACTCCGCATCTACTGGTTGATCAACACGTCGTTGACAACCATCGAACTCAAGGTGCAGGTTGCGATGAGCCTGCTCGATGGCGACGCCCGTGCCTGGGCCACTCCTTACTTTGCCCAACTTGCATTGGTGCAGATGGGTGTCCAAGGGGTCATGACCCCGTTTCAGAACGAAATAGCCTTCACTGCCTCCTTCAAGGCTTGATTCGGTAATCTCGACGACGAGGTGGCAGCACAAGTAGAGCTGGTGAAGCTCTGTGCGGACAAGTCGGTCCGCGAAAAATGCACTGCCGCAGAGTTCTCCGTGTTGTTCAAGGGTCCGGCGGACCGTTCCGGGTATGGGGACCTGGAACTACGCGACAAGTACCTGAGTGGCATCCCCTCCCGCGTCTACCGCAAGATCGAGCTTGAGACCTTCACCACATGGAAAGAAGCTGAGAAGCGCGCCACCGAGGTCGAGCAGATCCTCGACATCAGCCGGGCCCGTTGGCCCGAGCTGAACAACTTCTTCTCGGCCCGAGGTTGAGGACACGGAGGGGCATGTGGTGGTACACCCCAGTCACACGCAGCTTCGGTCAGCATCAATGTGGTGATAGGCGCCAAGCCCCTCTGGGCCCCGATTCACCTCTTTTCGGCAGTCGCATCCCGCCCGGCACTTCGACTCAGTCTCCCAACACTTCGATTTCGCCTTCGACGCTCTTCAACATCTTCGACGGTGCGCAACGCTTACTCGAAGCTCGGCACGGTCTTCCTGATGCCTCGTGCGTAGACCTCGGAACATCTTCCGCATTCGGCGAACAATAGGGCCACTTGACGCCGCTCGGCCAAGCGCGCGCTTCGCTCCAAGCCACACCAAAGTAGCCGGTCTTTCCCAATTGGGTATCGAACCTCGCGGCATGCCTTCACGACGGCTACCGGTCCGAAGTGGCCATATGTTGCCCTTCATCTCCGCGTTCGGCATGACGTCACTCTACCGATGGACTTGGTATGTGCCCCTCAGTGAGGCAGCTTCTTGAGGAACAATGCAAAGCCCCTTGTACCCGTATGCCACTCTCGAATAGTTGTAGCATCCTGTGTAGTATAAAATCTGTCGTACTTCTCTCTAAAAATACAGGATCCGTCCCCCCCCTCGAGTTCAGAGCTCATAAGTCGAGTTCGCCCCGCGTCTAAGCTTCAAAACTGCGTCACTTCGTCCCTCGCTGCGTAACCTCGAAACCTCGTCCACTGCGTTTACTCGTCGATACCGTCTCGACGAATCCTTCGACTTTGACTATTGTCGAAGAAACTGCGAACCGCGCCCTAGCTAAGTCCACCCTATCGAATCGTGTCCCTTCCCTCTACGATACATCGAAGAGCTCTGCCGAACTTCAATCGTCTCCGCTAACCATCCACAGCCTCCGAATAGCTTCGACGACGTGTCGAAGCCACCTTGTACCTTCCCCATCGTTTGTAGCCTTTTCCAAGGGTGTTTTTCGTGTTCACTCGAACCGCGGGACACCTTGCTGCTAACTCCCCTCTCACTAGACTATAAGCCGTCTCTCTAGTCCCTTTAGGTCACACCCAGGTTAGGGGTTAGGGTTTCGTAGGTCGTATCAGCGGCCGTTGGAAAAGGAAACTTCCCCGGCACTTGCTTCGGCTGTGGGAAGCAAGGGTACCGACATTTTGAGTGCCCCAATTGTAAGGACAAGCCTTACACAAAACGCGCCGATGCACGGGCTACGGTTGCCTTGGGATCCACCCAGGCCGCGACAAGCGCCCCCGTCACGACATCACCCTCGGCAAGTATAAGTGCCGCTTTAGCAAAATCCGAGCAATCGGAGCTGGCGGACTTAATGGCACAGGTGAAGTCGATGCGCAAGGAGCTCGAGCACTATTGGGCAATGAAGGAGGAGGGTTTTTGATCCGGTCCGCGCTTCATGCCACACGCGTTGGGCCGCGTATATCCTGTAATAAGTATAGCGTATTGTCAACTGCGATGGTGTACGAATTGGACCAGGGGTTCCAACATTTTCACATCCCAGTTCGACTTCAAGGAAAAAGACGGCACAAAGACATAATCACTATGGTGGACAGCGGAGCCACCACGAAGTTCATCAACAAGCGATTCATTATAGAGAATAAGGTGCAGACACGGAAATTGAAAGAGCCGATTCCGCTATACAATATCGATGGCACCCTGAACAAAGACGCAAGCATCTCGGAAGTAGCAGTGCTACAGATGCAGATAGGAGAACACGTTGAGAAGACGGTGTTTACAGTCACGGACATCGGTCCAGAGGATGTGATCATCGGATTGGATTGGCTGCGAGAGCACAACCCTGAGATCGATTGGGAGGCAGGCTCCCTAAAGTTGTCGCGATGCCCTGAAACGTGCAGCGCCAGGAGGACTGGCCGAATGGAGCAAGCAGCGACTGCGCGTGATATGGGGGTCAGGCCCACGGCGCGCAGGTGTTCGCCGAAGTCCAAACGGTCAGTTATAGGTGCCTGCCAAAGTAAGGTACTCCCGGACTTCAAACCCAAAAAAGATCCGGTGGAAGTAGAGTGGGACGAAGCTAACTTGATCGAGGCCTGGGAGCAAGGTATTATGCTCCCTGGCGCCCCTCAGCTGTTCGTCGCAGCTGGGCATATGTACTCCCAGTTGTTTGCTGAAGAGGAAATCAAAAAGAAAGTCGTCAAGACCGCTGAGGAGTTGGTGCCCAAGCAGTACCACGAGTTCCTGAATGTCTTCTCCAAAGAAGCATCAGAACGGCTGCCCGAAAGGAAGCCTTATGATCATGCGATCGAACTCGTGCCCGGCTACTCAATGTTCCATTCGAAGGTGTATCCTCTGTCGAACAATGAGCAGGAGGAGCTTGACAAGTTCCTAAAGGAGCAGCTGGCAAAGGGTTACATACGGGAATCGAAGTCGCCCATCTCGTCCCCCTTCTTCTTCATCAAAAAAAAGGAAGGGACGCTTCGACCCGTGCAGGACTACCGCCGGTTGAACGCGATCACGGTGAAAAACCGTTACCCGTTGCCGCTGATCGCCGAGATGGTTTATAAGCTCCACGATGCCACACTTTTTACAAAGTTCGATGTCCGATGGGGATACAACAACGTCCGGATCAAAGCCGGTGATGAGTGGAAGGCGGCTTTTGTGACTAATCGAGGGTTGTACGAGCCCTTGGTGATGTTCTTCGGTCTCACCAATTCCCCTGTGACCTTCCAGGCGATGATGAACGAGATCTTCCATGATCTCATCATTGGTGGCAAGATCCTCATGTACCTGGATGACATACTCATCTTCTCTACCAACAAGGAGGAGCATGAGAAGGTCACACGCGAGGTTCTACGCCGCCTTCAGGATAATGATCTATTCCTGAAGCCTGAGAAGTGCGAGTGGGACGTTCCCAAGGTCGACTACGTTGGCTATGTGTTCGGTGGCGATGAGGTAGCGATGGATCCTGCGAAGCTAAAAGGAATTAATGAGTGGCCGGTACCCCGGAACAAAAAAGACGT